ATATATATATATATATATATATATATATAAAGTTGTAGACGTATTTAGATGCATAAAGCCAGCGATTTAGAAGGGTATTATTAATTATATATTATAATCATAGTTAGAAATCCTTATTAGGAGATGCGTATATATATATAGGTGTATATATATATATATATATATATATTGTAATCGAAGAGTAACAGCAGCCAAATGCACACACAATGCAGAGAAAGAGAGTGAATAAAGAAGAGAAGATAAAATTAAAATAATAAAAAACAAACAAACCCAAGAAAAAGCTCCTATAGGCACATGCGCAGGCTTCTAGGGTTTAGGGTTTAGGGTTTAGGGGTATACGAGGGTTTAGGGTTTAGGGGTAGAGGAGGGTTTAGAGTTTAGGGTTTAGAGGTAAGCGGGGCTTTACGGTTTAGGGTTACGCGAGGGTTTAGGGTTTAGGGTTTAGGGTTTGGCTGCTTAACGCCGAGCACTTCGATGGTGAGCGTACACCAGCAATAAACAAACAAAACAACTAAAAATAAATATTAATATACAGCGCAGAAGGCGTAAAAAATAATCAAAGCAAAGAGTTAAAAAATAAAAATACAAACAAAAAACCCTAGGGGAGTAATCTCGCGAGGAGTTCATCTGAGCCCCGGAGTTTAGGGTTTAGGGTTTAGGGTTTAGGGTTTAGGGTTTAGGTGAGGGTAAATGTATTACTTTTTGTCTGATGTTGTTGTATTGGTGTTATACTTAGGAAGATGTTTATTAAATTAATTGGATAGAGTATTAAGAGTTTATTAATAATAATATTATTATTATAAAAACACAAATATAATCTTATTATAATAACATAATAATACTAATTATTATTATTATTATTATTATTATTATTATTATTGTTATTATTGTATATTATTATTATTATTATTCTCGAGAATAATAATAATATTATTATTATATTATCTTTCCTGTTTCGAGGCAGCGTCCAGAGGGAAGAAATTAAAAAAATGAGTTGCAGCATACTATAGCTGCCTATACACTCGAGTGCATGCACGCTGCTGCTGCTGCTGCTGCTGCTGCTGCTGATTGCAGCAGCAGCTACAGCACACCCTGCTGCTGCTACTCCTAACAACTACCGTCTCTCCGTATATCTTCCCCAGGCCCTTCTGCTGCTGTGCTGCTGCTGCTGTTGCTGCTGCCTGCTGCTGCTGCCTGCTGCTGCTGCTGCTGCTGACGGCTCACTAAGGCTTTGGAGAGCGAAGTTTTATTATTACTGTTGCTGCTCTGTTGCTGCTGATCTTGGGCTAAGGGAATTGCTACCAACTTGCATAACTGTTACTATCGCCCATGCATGCTGCTGCTGCTGCTGCTGCTCCTGCAGCAGCAGCAGCAGCAGCGACACAGCTAACTAACAAGTACCCTACTGCATGCTGCTGCAGCGTAGCTGCTGCTGCTGCTGCTGCTGTTGCTGCTGCTGCTGCTACACAAGGATGCATTATATCTTCGAGTTCTTCTTCATTTCTTGCATACTAACAAAGAGAGAGCAGATATTATACTCATTCAAGAGCTTCTCTACCTCTTCCTGCTTGTGTAGCTTCACCTGCTGCAACGAGCACAGCAGCAGCAGCAGCAGCAGCAGCAGCAGCAGCAGCAGCAGCAGCACAGCTAATTGGCATATTCTGGTTCTTCTTTCAGCCCTTTCTTCAACTCTTCACTTAACACCTGCTGCAGCAACTGCCACACTTACCACTAGCTGCTTCCCGTGCAGCAGCAGCTGCTGCTCGACAAGCAGCACCAGCAGCAGCAGCAGCAGCAGCAGCAGCAGCAGGACAATAGGGAATTTCCTTGGCCTTTTACACCCTCCTTCCCGCCTTCATTATTATTATTCATTGGCTCTTCAGCGTTATATTTTACCTTAGTTGCCTTCGCACTGTCTCAACTCCGCAGCAGCAGCAGCAGCAGCAGCAGCAGCAGCAGCAGCAACAGCTGCAGCAACAACAGCAGCAACAGAAGCAGCTGCTGCTGCTGGAAGGGCCATCCCTACGACTTCGGTGTCTTAATATTACTTACTAACAGCCGTCCTTAGTGGGGGGTGTAAGAGAGCTGTGTCGCCTCTGCAGCAGCAGCAGCAGCAGCAGCAGCACCATCGACAGGAGCCGCCGCCGCAGCAGCAGCACCATCGACAGCTTCCGCCACCTCCGCAGCAGCAGCATCCACATCGCTATAACAGCAGCAGCAGCTTAATCAGAAGCAAGAACAGCTTCAGCACCATCATAACCGCTACCACCAGCACCATCAGGAGCAGCAGCAGCAGCAGCAGCAGCAGCAGCAGCAGCAGCAATGAGTGTGTGTCTGATATTATTTCTGGTGTATGTGGTCTGCGGAGGTGTATTGCTGCCAATCTGCATGCATCTCTGCCACCCTAATCCTCGTCAGCTGAACAGAGAGCTACAAGACAGCGAAGTAGGAGAGCATCTCGTAAGAACTACTCTCAAGTGTATCGACACGAGTATCTGGTGGCTGCTCTAGCTGCAACTGCTGCAGCACAAGCACCACCACAGTCACCTGCAGCAGCAGCAGCAGCAGCAGCAAAGCAACAGCAGCAGCAACAGCAGCAGCAGAAGCAGCAGCAAGTTCTACACCAGCACGCTGTCTCGTTCTCTTGGCGCTCACTTTTAGTTTCACGATGCCGCCTGCGCGTAGGCTGCAGCAGCAGCAGCAGCAGAAGCAGCAGCAGCAGCAGCAGAAGCAGCAGCAGCAGCAATAGATCCTGCTGGTGTGGGGGATGAGGGATAATTCACAACACATGCGCAGCAGCACAGTTGTTGCTGCTGCAGCCACCACAGGACAGCAGCAGCTACAGCAACAGCTACAGCAGCAGTTGCAGCAGCAGCTGCAGCAGCATCAGCAGCAGCAGCAGCAGCAGCAGCAGGGGCTCTCAGCTGCCCGTGGGGTGTGTTGTGTTTGTCTTGATGTTTTATATGTTTGCTTCTTGGCGTTCGTTTTAGATGCAGCTCTTCTCTATCGGCCTGCATGCCCAACTCTTCAGCTGACCCCAACGCCTAGCTAGCTAGCTAGGTAGCTAGCTAGCTAGCTACCTAGCTAGATGGATAGCTAGATAGATAGATAGATAGCTGGATGGCTAGCTAGCTA